CGTATGAAGAAGAAGAAGAAGAAAAAGAAAACGAAAAAGAAAACGAAAAAGAAAAAAACAAGAAGAAGTAGAAGTAGAAGAGTAGAAGAAGAAGCCTTTGGCGATACGGAAGCAAGCAATTTATACGAAGATTCCATCGATCGTACCTAAGAAATACTTACTTATCTTTACGTATGTGTCTGTATATGTACTTATATTACTACTGCTGCTTCGAGATGCACGATGGAATGTTAAAAAAGAAAGAAAAATGAGGGACGTTCAGTAAAATGGATTTTATAACTTGCAGTGACTTTCTCTGATGTGAGAAACTAACGAGCTAAAAGTCAGAGCACCGTTCAATTTTTCTTAATCCATGAATAAGTTTTTCTTTTGCAAACACTTCGGAAACCGAAGAAGGATAGATAATAAAAAAGTCAATTAATGTTACGTCAATAATTAATGTATAAGCAAGTTTTAAGAACGCCATAACATCATGGTGCACGGTTGCACAAAAAGGCTGGAAGAATGATTATGATTAGAGTTCTCAAAAAGTAAATCGAATATATTATTTAGGATTAGTATAGTTAATAATATTATCAAAATATTTCAAATCCTAAAAGAGAAAGCAGAATGCTTTGTAATTACGAACTAGAATTTGTTACTTTATAATGAAAAAGATGAAAGGAAGTAATTAGAAGTTCTCGAATGTTCATTCAGGATTTTTGGTTTTTATGAAAAACGATTATTAGAATTATTATAGAAAAAAAAAGTAATAAAAGAAATGAAAATATGATATTAATTAGGAAGATGAAAGAAACTAATTATAATTATAATGTTTATGGTAAGCGGTCTTTGGTTGGATTTCACTTATAATGGAATGTATAGCATATAAAATATAAACATTACATAGAAAGTAGTATACATGTTCCCGCGTCTAACCACATGGAAATTACCGCATCTGAAGATCGTAATTTAAATGAATATTCATTAAATTTTACTTACCAATAACACCTATCGAAGTTTACACGTCGAAATTAATAAAACACTGACCAGAGACAACGAAAATCCCCAAATGTTAATAAAGATTTGTTTAAACATTAATAAACTTGTTGACATTAAATCAACCGTTTAACACAAATTTTCGTCTATCTCTCACCGTCAACGACGGTAAGAATTCAATTAATACTTCATGAAAGAAACATACATAATTAAAAAAAATAAGTAGTTTGAATGTTAAATAAAATTTAGAAAATAAATAGGTTCTTAATGAAAAATTCACATTTGATTAGATAACAAATTAATATAAAACGATGAGAGAAAGAGAACTCAATTTGATAAACGAAAGATAATAATTAATAATGAATAATTATTAATAGATAATCCAAAAATCATTGAAATATTAAAAATATTAATATTCTTACGAAGCACGTGTTGAATACGACTTGTTTACCATAGAACGACCGGACTATAACTGCCTCGAATGTTGTCTCGAATGTGTTTCGAAGAAAGAAGTAAACATACGTATAGAAATAGAAATAAACATAATTCAGTCATTTCAATCGTCATGGTCAGTAACTGTTAAAGGTCGGTAACAGTCTCTAAAATATGTTTTCCTTTTCCTCCACATGAAGATTCGATCGATCATAAATTTTTCAAAGGTATCTATTCCTTTTTATCAAATAAATCAAATAAATTTTTTATATTTTAACAAGGATGCTCTCCGGTCACGCGTTGCTGTGGCTTTTTTATAAAATATTGATTTAATATAATTCTAAAGTATGTAGTAAATTACAACAAACAAAATAATATCACAATTAGAATGGAATATATAAGATAATAATAAATGAAAAAATATAAAAAGCAAGATTAGTTATGTCACATGTAAATTTGAAAAAAGCGTATGACGTGAATATATCGAAATAATTGAATTGTGATACAGCGCCATCTATTGAAAACTTAGAGTACCAAATACCTAGAAACCTCTAAATAATAAATCCTTAAATTAGCAATTAAAAATAAAAGTACTCGCAATAAAAACTATCCTATATATCCTAAGTTGAAAAAAATCACATAGAATAAAAAAAATTTCACTAAGATCGGTTCAGTAGTTTCTAAGTTCATTAGAAACCAACAATATGACACACACACTGAATTTTTATATATAAAGATTATAAAACGCAATTATATAATATATAATCGACGAATCAACAAGTGTTTACTAAAATTTTTTATTGTATTTTCTATTTTTTCTATTTTTCCAGTGAGTCGAATTATTGTTAATTTTTCGAATGAATTTTTTGCTTTGTAAGATTAAATTATGTTTTTTTTTAATAATTTCATTTTTAAACTTATGTTAGTCGAAAAAGCATAAACTATGTTAAAAGATATCTTTTCCCTAACGTCTTCTCAGAAAATCAACAAATCATCGATCTTTTAAACGTGTCTATGTGTATTTCATTATAAGAAAAACTTATTTTTTTTATACTTTAATGTTAAAAAACCGTATTCGATAGACAATCAGCGATTGTTCACAGAATTTCTTGTGTAATTTTCTATCTTCGAAAAAATTAAAATAATTAAAAATTTCTCAAAAGTTTATTATTCCTCTGCAAAATATAACAATTATACACAGATTATAACTTTGAGATCAACGTTTTGTCATAGCATGCAAAGGGCACGTGAGATTGTTAATTCGATTGACGCTATATGTAAATGCGAAAAGAGAGAGAAAGAGAAATCTTGCATCATGTAACAAACAAAATAAATAAACTCGAGCATGAGGGCTACATAATTTATGTACTCTTTATCGCATATATGTCGCGAATGATCATAGACATTGAGAGCCAGTTAAACCTTTTTTCCTCAACATTCCTAACAAATATTTCATTATTAATTTTTATTCAATCTATTATATTATTAGATGATAAGTAATTTCAAACTTGTTAATATCAAAAATACTAGTTTGTTTTAAATATTAAATAATAAGAAAGTATTCTCAATACAAAAAATAATCTATATATATATAATAAATAATTTTATTTATTCAAAGATATAAAATAATAAACTTTTATTTACAATATAAAAATAATTTATTGAAATAAAAATAATTTAAAATTCCAAAATTAAATATAATTTACATTAATTATTATTATCATCATCTTCATCTTTTTTTCTCTAATTAATATTATTATTATTATTTAATTGGAAATTGCATAAAACTAATCCTCGAAAATGAACTAAATATACAATTAGATAAATTTGATTACATATGTGGCATACATATCGTACCAGCTCCTTTCTTGTTCACGAATTTTAAAGCGAGCAGAAAACCAGCTCGATTACCATTTGCATTAACCTTTTCGCTGTTACGCCCGGCTTGTTCTAACATCTAGTATACGTGCCAACTCGCTTAGCCGACTTGTGTCTATGTAAGCTATTAGAAAATATTTCTTTTTTTTTCTTCTTCTTCTTTCTTTCTTTCTTACTTTCTACAGTTTGGACCAAAAGTTTCCTACGTGATTTTTTAACTAATCAGTTACTCCGTCTCGAGACTTTTTAACTAATTCTAATTTCTTTTTTTTTTACCCTAGATTGTAAAACTACAAGCCTTTGATACTTTTAACTAGTAATTTGTAGTAAATTTTTTTATTAAAACGATTCGATTATTATTCCAACGTATCTACGAAGTCATTCGTCAATGTACGAGTCTACGAAATAGTCAATGCATTTACGTGTTTATTGCGTATGTGGGATATACAAAATTGCGCTAGGATATTTCGATGTTTTTTTTTTAAATAAATAATAAATAATGTTTTAATTAAAATTGCAGATTACATAGATGGATTGCAACATTTTTAGGTTAGCAGAAATAATTTGCTTTCTTTCTTAAAACTTTAAAAAAAATCTTAAAACTTTTCAGTCCACCATTCTCGTATAATATAAAAATAAAATAAAATAATCTACGATATTATTAAATAGCAAAATAAAATAAAATAATTTAAATAAAAATAGAGTACGCGCAAATTTAATAATAAAGACTTTCATCCATACTTTAATAAAAATATATATATATATATATATATATATATATATATATTTATTTATTTATTTTTTTTTCTTTCTCTTTCTCTTTCATTCTTTCACTCTACAAGAGCGATTTTGATCGGTTCTTACGAACTAAATAGGCGTGGCAGCTGCCGTAAAAGTATACACTGAGACATTTTTAACGATCGAGATAATTTTTCGAAAGTCGAACAACTGTATATCGACCAATCGATCGAAGATACGATTTAGATATATTCTTAGAAGTTTTATCTTTCTTTAAAACTATTTTCATTTATATAAACAAACAAAAAAACAAAAAAATCAACATACCTTTTCTTTAAAACTGTTTTCATTTATATATATATATATATATATATATATATATATATATATATATATATATATAAAAGAAAAAAAAAATAAATAAAACAAACAAACCAACATATCAAATTTTTATTGAAGCTGCATTTGATAGAGACATTTATGTCCATAGGAAAAGAGGAAAACTCATGGATAGTCAACGTGAGATTTAAAGCCTAATCCTTTATTTTTATTTCAGGAAAAAAACAATAAATAAACTATATAGAAAATAATTATAAATTAATAAATACCAAATTATTCGGTATGATATTAAAAAAATAAATAAATAAAGTAAAATTGACAAAATGATTTTGAAAAGCGTTGTATGATCACGTGATCTTTTGTACTCTGCTTCCCTCTATATCCTTTGCTAGAAAATAGTATTAAATACATAAAAAAGAAATGGAAAATTTTGATCATTAAAATTGAATAATTAGAATCGACATTATCGATTATTTAACGTCAATCAAGCTCAAATTTCCTTCTCGAAGGTCATACTCGAAAAAAGCTGATCGACCGGCCTCTTCCTCTCTCTTTCTCTCTCTCTTTGTACTACCGGCGCCATCGAACTCTATATACAGCAGGCATTAAAAAGTGTTACGTAAGTTGAGACTCACCTGCATCAATGGCACCATCTGAATGCATTGAGTAATTTTGGTCATCGTTTCTTCTGCTTTCTTGTTCGCCGATTCCTCATTCTCATTCTCGTCTTCTTCCTGTTTATTTTTTTCATCTCGGATACTATTAACGACGATCTCAATCATCCCTTTATTTTCCTCGTTTCTAACCTGCGTTAGAAGAGAATCTTTCTCTCCTTCCTCTTTCTTATTTTTTTGTTGATCGTTGAGATTTTTACACGAAGACGGTAGCAACGATTGTTTTTCGTTTGTTAAGTTTATTTTTGTCATATTTATTTTTTTATTTTTATTTTTACCAATAATATCACACTAACACTACTTGATATGGTTGTTGTTTTTTTTCTAGTCTATACACCGATTTTAATAACAAAAATGAATAAAACCATAAAATATTGAAGATAATATTAAAGAAAATACGCAAATAAGGGCGTACACGAGGAAAGTTCGAGGTTATGTACGTAATCGATCTCTCTTGCACTCGACTAATTCACCGCAGCGTATCTTTTCCCTTTAACTATGAGGCTTTCGGTTTTCCGCTTTTCCTAACGAGATTCACTTCGACACCGTTCGATGATTGGTCCACGTGAATATACTTCTCTGACACCAAAGGTGGAGCGAGAGAGAAAAAGAAGTTACGAGTTGATACCAGTTCCTTCCTTCCTTCCTTCTCCTTCTTCTTCTCTTTTTCTCTCTCACACTCACTTCACCAACTTCCTTGAAGTATCTATTTAACCTGTTTATATCTTTCTATCAATTTCTTCTTACAACACACAACAACGAATATATAAATAATAAAAATAAATAACCAATCTTGTGTAAATCTTCGTGTATTTTTTAACACACGCAAAAGAAGAATACCAAATAAGGTTAGATTAACCTCCCGACTTAATAATATTATTTTCGGGACGATAATTTTAGTGAATAAAAAGTAACGTAATAATATTTAAATAATTAAAATAATTAAGCGTTTAAATATGAAAATGCGGAACGATTGCGGGAAAAGTCAGAATTGAATGCGGAACGTGAACGGTAGGAAGTTTGGAACTGATATTCTCTAGTCGGTCCATCCCAGCGTGCATCACCGCCCCACCCGAGTCGAACATCGCCCTTGCCTTGCCTTGCCCGTCTTTCCTCTCTAACCGAGTCTACGCTCGAGACCCGAAAACGACCGAACTCGAGGAACAAGACGAAGATAACACGAACGAACAAACGAACGAAATCGAAAGCAGTGCCGCACTGCATTCGCCAATTTCTTTTATCAGCGCTTTGCGTTTTTTCTTTTTTCTCCTATTTTTTCTCTTTTTCATTCTCTCTTTTTTTCTTTCTTTTTTTTATTCTTTTTACCAACCGCGCGTTTATCGGTATTTATTTACCACGCTTTTTATCGACAGATGTAATCTAAATGTTCTCTTCCATCTACTGCTTCTCCTTTTTTCTTTTTCTTTCTCGGCATTGATTTATTTGGTTTTTTAAATTCATCGTTTATGTCATTTAAACGTTTCTGTAATAAAATACATTTTATTGATGCGATAAGTATAGAGAGTGTTCTTCATTCAACTGTAATAATCTTTTTCTTTTATGGATTATTTTCTAATTAATCTAATCGTTAATTTTTTTTTGCACGAGTAAATTTAAATAATATGTAAATATATGTATGCATATATGTACATATATGTATTATTAAACTAAATGATATATGATATAAGAATGAGGTGAATTTTAGACTCTATTTATTAGTCTATTTATCTCGAGTGAACGTGATTGTTTTTGCTCAAGGTTGATTGAAGGTTAACACGTTTCTGCTGTCGAATCTCCTCGACTCGCAAGTTTACGACATTATAGTTATAAAAATTCTATATATGCATATATATGCATATATATATATACTTTTACTATCTTCCTTTTTCTTTTCTTTTTATTTTATTATTTTCCTTTACGTAGCCTGGTTCGCGGTTTCACAAAATGTGGTTTCTATTTCCTCACCATGATGGTATCCTATAAAGATAATAAAATGATAAACATGTAGACAATGAAATAATAAAAAAATCTTACGGGACAATAAAATAAAATAAAATAAAATAATAGAAAGAATAGAAAATTATAGTAATACTTTATATCAAAATGAGCAAAATAATGTTCGACCGAGGGAACAGAATAAAAGGGGAGAAAATGGAAAAGGTGAAAGAAGAATAGAAAGAGACAGATAATATCTACGTAAATCGAACTATAATCGACGAATATGTACAGGTGTTGCATTATCAGTTTTCGATTGATTTATCGTAAGACTTGTCGACACATGCGCGATTATTATCATCATTATTGTATATTTCTCTCTCTGTATGCGTTGAAAACAAGAAGAATGGCATATATAGATAGAAAGAGATGTTGTGTATCTACTTGTGAAAATAACGAGGATAAAATCGTAGAAAGAGAAATAGAGCGAGATAGATAAATAAATTTTTGTTTCTGACACAGCTTTAAAAAAAGAAAGACAGAAAGAAAAGAAAAAAGATATATATATATATATATATATAT